AACTTGGGTGGTTATGCTGGCTTGTCGTGGAGAGGGCCAGAGTAGGGTTTTGGCAATAATGATAGAATTTGCGATGACATTCTTCTTGTTATTGCCGTTGTTGTTGTCACTACTGCTAGACGTCACGCTGTCATGATTTTCAGTATCATCCCTGTTGTCATTATTATCATCAGTAGCAACAGTAGTAGCGAGAGCGGTAATAGCAGCAGCAGTAGAATAAGTAGTTATTACAACATCAATAGCATTAGTAGTGTAAGACCTTCCCCCATACTTCAAGAACCTAACATTTCACGATCTCCCCCACCCCACGCCTCCCCGCACGCCCTTGCCACAGGGCCTGTACGGCGTCCTAAGCAGGATGGGTCGCACAGATAAGGTCAGAATCGTCGTTGGTAACACTGGAGCAGGTACGTTTAGAAGGCTTTTGTTGGAATATAATTTGAAATACATATCTCAATTTAGTAATCGTAGAGTAGTTATGATTGAATGATGCCACAATACAAGTTTATAAATGTTTCGATATGACATCTAAATTGGTCGTCAAATCATCGATGATTCTACTTTTGATTCCTCACAAAACAGGCTTAATGACTGACATATTTTTATTTGATGTGTAGCATAAACCTTAATGAATATCGACTTGATTAATGTAAATAATTTTCCGATTTATTTCACAGACAGACATTTGCAAAGATAGAATTACTAAATGCAATCTCCGTGTAAATGCAGAAATAAAAGGATTTTCATGCTAAAATTTAGCGAAATTATTCTGTTCAAATGGATGACACTGGAAAGCTATGTTTAGAAATTGCAATAAGCGACGAAGAGAGAGGATATTACATTAACATGATACTGTGTAATTACTTTTAAAGCAGGCATTTGCATTCATACTCCAAGAATCATAATATCAGCGTTACGTTAATCTTGCAGCCAGTTTTATTCATTTTTTATTGGACGTACGGTAGGTTTATAGCCGGTCCTTTTATTATGGAACTTGAATGCATATACACATATGTATGTGTGTGTGTGTGTGTGTGTGTGTGTGTGTGTGTGTGTGTGTGTGTGTGTGTGTGTGTGTGTGTGTGTGTGTGTGTGTGTGTGTGTGTGTGTGTGTGTGTGTGTGTGTGTGTGTGTGTGTGTGTGTGTGTGGTGTGTGTGTGTGTGTGCTGTATACTGTCCAAACATTGTGATTCTTTCAAACGAACCCCACTATAATCATCGACGAGACAAAAGCCCATAACAGCGCACGTAGCTTTCGGCCGCACCATCGCCAGCCCGCCGCCCCGCCGCGTCCAACCCCTCTTCATCTCCCTTAACTGCCGCAGGCGTCTTCAAGAACGACGGGCCCTACGCGGCCTACGTCAGCACGTCCGGCATCAGGGAGCTGTACAGCACGCGCGTGGGCTCGCCGCTGGAGATGGGCGCCAACGTGTCCCTGACGCGCGCCATCGAGATCTTCGAGCACATGGCGGCCAGCGACCCCGACTTCCACCACCTCAAGGCGCTCGCCGACCACTGGAAGGTCGTGGCCAACGTCGGCGTCAGGAACGTAAGGCCCTTTTGAGCGACTGTTTGGGTGTGTCGTGTTTCGTTGTGTGTATGTTTGTGTTTTGTGTATAAACATATATTCGTTCATGTATGTTTGTTATGTTGTATGTATGTATGTAGCGCACGTTTGTTATGCTATATGTATATGCATGTATCTGCCCATGTATGATTGTTATGCCATGTGTATGTTCGCACGTGTGTGTATGAGTCAGTGAGTCAAGAACCTGCTTGTTCCCGCGCCACAGGCAGGCTGTTGGGCCGGAAACCTGATGCTGAAGCACGCCCACATGGGCTTCCAGTCCGACATTTTCCTGACCCTGCTGGTAGCCGGCGCTGAACTGACCCTTGGCCACGCCCACGACGGCTCCACCTCGCATATCGACCTCGAGCAGTTCCTCCAGACGGACATGTCCCGCAGCGTCATCCTCTCCGTCAGCATCCCGCCCGCCAGCGCCAACACCAAGGTAGGAGGGCGTCGCGCGCAGGAGAGCGAACTCCGCCGCAGCCAAACGGTCGCTCTTTGCGGGCCTTCACGATATTCAAGTTGAATTCAGAGTCGAACAATTATTACATGTCACATTAGCCTTCGAATGTTTTACATCAAATTAGCTACCAGGAAGATGCATTGTTAGCCTGCCAAGTCCTCTCCACGCACCTCCTCCCGCAGGTTCGCACGTTCAAGATCACTCCGAGAGCAGTCAACGCACACGCCTACGTGAACGCCGCCTTCAAGATGGAGGTGGACCCAGAGGACGGGTTTAAGGTCCTAAATAAACCCACAATTCTGTACGGCGGAATCAACCCTGAGTTCGTAAGTGGATTTTTTTTTTCATTATTTACAGCCGAAGGCAATATTATTATATGCCATGGAACTTTTGATTCATTTTAAAAATTTTATGTTTACATTTCATGATTTCGCATGTCACTTCTTGGATAGTTATTCTATCTCTTAAAGAGCAAACATCACTCCTCTGGGATAAAAGGAAAAGAAAAAAAACTTGTGGTTGTATGTGTGTGTGTGTATGTGTCTAAATGTAAACATCCAAAAAAACTGTTCTGGAATCTGCAAACTTGGCTTCAACTAAACCGGAGTCCCACGGTCCCCATGCCCATCAAGGACGTTAACCCACAACCAACAAAAGCACGTACTGCAACGCACACCTTCCCTGGACACGCAGATTCACGCCTCGCAGACGGAGGACTTCCTGACGGGGCGCCGCCTCACGGACTCGGAGACGGTGCTGGAGGCCGCCAAGCTAGTCGGGCAGGAGGTCAAGCCAGACAGCCACCCGCAGGACGCGACGCCGGCCTACAGGACCTCGCTGGCACAAAGCCTGCTCTACAAGGTGGGGCCTAGGGTTTTTCTTCTTCTTTTCTTAAGGTACCGTTAAGACACTCTTAAAGAATGATAACAATACTGATTGGTGCTAGGAAATGCATAGTGTTTTGGAGTTTTTTATTGAATTTAAGATAAATATAACGAACAGGAAACGAGATAGAAACATCAAATATGATATTTAGTCAACAATGCCAAACCAATACTTTATGATACGTCTGCAATAATGCACATTTATCTTATTTTACTCCAACCTTATGCTGGTTTAAAAATTCGCCAAAACATGGGTGTTAAAGTATTTTAGTTTAAAATCTATAGTGCGAATAAAGGAAATTCATTCTCTAAAAAAAGGAATAAATAGATATGCGAGTCAGACATGGTCCCCCGGGCGACGGTCATTCTCAAAGAAGGGGAGAGTTTGCTGGCGTCTCGGTTGCCACGGCGTGCGAAATGGGGCGACGCGATCCCTGAGTCGACGCCATAACTTAAGGGGGATTTCTCTGAGTCCTGGAACGCCTTCGGTAAAACGCCTCGCTCCCTTCCAGACGATCGTGGGCATCCTAGGCGACCGCGTCCCGGCGAGCATTCGCAGCGCAGGACCCAACATCGAGCGTCCGCTTTCCTCCGGCAAACAGACCTTCGACATGAACAGAGAGTCCTGGCCCATCGGCGAGCCTGTGCCCAAGCTGGAGTCCGCGGCGCAGATTTCAGGTGAGGAAACATGTCTGAGTAAGCATGTCAGAGTACGCATGTTAGAGTAAGCATGTCTGGATAAGCATGTCAGAGTTAGCATGCCCGAGTAAGCATGTCAGAGCAAGTATATCTCATTAAATATGTCTTAGTAAACATGTCTGAGTAAACGTGACGTTGTCTGTTTTTGTCAGTCCTTAGGGATTTAACACAGAGGGTAGGTCTGGTTCGCTTTTCCTTCGCTTTTATCTTTTCGTCTTTTAACAAGTGGCTGATAGATGAAAAGGAATGATTTAGTAGGTTTATTTACTCCGTTGATTTAACTATCAACGGAGTAGGTAAACAGGGAAGTGGAATCTTGTTTCTCTTGTAAGGAAGAAGGATGCAGAGGAGTCAAGTGTTCAAGATCAGTTGCATAACCAGACCTTCCTTTAAAAAACGAACCAAAAATGTATTATGCTGCCCACCAAGTAACTGGGCGGGACCTTTCATCGCAGATCCTCTCTTCTCTCTCTCTCTCTCTCTCTCTCTCTCTCTCTCTCTCTCTCTCTCTCTCTCTCTCTCTCTCTCTCTCTCTCTCTCTCTCCTCTCTCTCTCTCTCTCTCTCTCTCTCTCTCTCTTCTCTCTTTCTCTCTTTCTCTCTTTCTCTCTTTCTCTCTTTTCTCTCTTTCTCTCTTTCTTTCTCTTCTCTCTCTTTCTTCTCTTTCTCTCTTTCTCTCTTCTTCTCTCTTTCTCTCTCTCTTTCTCTCTCTCCTCTTTCTCTCTCTTTCTCTCTCTCTCTCTCTCTCTCTCTCTCTCTCTCTCTCTCTCTCTCTCTCTCTCTCTCTCTCTCTCTTCTTCTCTCTCTCTCTCTCTCTCTCTCTCTCTCTCTTTCTCCTCCTCTCTCTCTTCTCTCTCTTCTCTCTCTGCTCTCTCTTTCTTTCCTCTCTCTCTCCTCTTCTCTCTCTCTCTCTTTCTCCTCCTCCTCCTTCTCCTCTTCTCTCTCTCTCTCTCTCTCTCTACACAAACGTAAGGAAGGATGGGTATTTTTCTCGCATGCTTTGTAATCTCCTCCCCCTCCCTTGCTGCAGGTGAGGCTGTGTACCTGGACGACGTTCCCGCTCTGCCCAACGAGCTGCACGGCGCCTTCGTCCAATCAGCTGAGGCCAATGCGCGTATAAGTTCCATTGACACGACAGAGGCAATGGTAAATTTTGGTCGAACGTCGCACTTGGGTGAAAGTGCTTCCGGTTTTGCAGTGCAGATGTGTGAAATATGTTTTCGATTTTGATGGTATGGATTAATCTTTATAGTGGGAGTAATTTCAGTGTATGTGATGTTTTTTTTTTCCATAGAAACTGCCGGGAGTGCTGTCCTTCGTGAAGGCGGAGGACATACCAGGCAAAAACAGCTTTGTTGGTACTATGGGACGTTTTCCAGACCCGGT